TCTATCCATTCATTTGTTGATAGGTTGTTTCCAACTCCTTGCTATTGTGAATAAAGCCAAGACAAGCATGGGTGTGCATATGTCTGCTTGGGTGTCAGTTATAGTCTCTTTGGGGTATATTTTCAGTAGTGGAATTGCTGGGTCAAATTGTATCTCTATTTGCAGCTTTTTGAGAAAGTGCCACACCGCCTTTCACAGTGGTTGCACCATTTTATACTCGCACCAATAGTGAATAAGGGTTCCAGTTTCTCTACAACCTCGCCAGCATATGTTAAATTTTGCTCTTCTTACTGAGGTGAGGTGATATCTCATAGTTGTTTTGAAAATGAGTAAGTTTTATGCCAACCCCATGAATAGAAACCTATTTTAACAGGGCACATTTTCCTAGCACCTTCCTCAATGCACCCAGCACTTCTTTGTTCCTCAGACTGTAAATAAGAGGATTCAGCATGGGAGTGAGGATGGTGTCAAACATAAAGAGGGCTTGATTCAGGATGGGAGTGTGGGAGGATCCAGGTCTCATGTATATCAGCATGGCGGGACCATAATAAAAGGTGACCACAGTCAAATGGGAAGAGCAGGTGGCTAGGGCTTTGTTCCTCCCCTCTGGTGAATTCATTCTAAGTACTGCAAGGAAAATCAGTGTATAGGAGGTCAAAATGAGACTTACAGGGAGAAGAACCACAACAATGCTTGTCACTACCACTCCTTTCTCATAGGCAGAAATATCCTCACAGGATAGCTTTAAGATAGCCTTGACCTCACAGAAGAAATGGTGGAGCTCCCGGTGGCCACAGAGAGGAAAGTGCATTGAGTAGGCTGTGTGGGCCAATGATGCCAGAGCCCCACCCAACCAGGACCCAATGGCCATCTGCTGGGAGACTCGATAATTTATAATGATTGGGTATTTCAGAGGGTGACATATGGCCACATAGCGATCATAAGCCATGAGGGTAAGAAGCAGACACTCAGCAATACCCAGCGTCAACGTGAAGAAGATCTGGGTACCACAGCCGATCAAGGAGATTTTCTTGTTTCCTGAGAAAAAGTTGACAGCCATTTTTGGGACTGTGCTAGAGATGAAAGCCAAGTCAATGAGTGAGAGTTGACTAAGCAGGAAATACATGGAGGTGTGGAGACGGGGATCTTCCCAGATGAGGAAGATCAGGGTGGCATTTCCTGTGACGGCAATAGTATAAATCAGGAGTATAATGGAGACAAGGATGCTGATATGTCTCATCCCAGGGAAAAGGCCTAGGAGAATGAAGTCTGTGTTCAATGTCTCGTTTCCTGTCTCCATAGTTTCTTCTTATCAGATTTACCTGAAAAATTTGGAAAACTTTCAAAACACATGTGTACAGAGGTAGTGAAACTACACTCAGCCTATAAAAATAATTGTAACAGATTCTATGTCATCAGGATTTTTTGTTTGTTTATTTGTTTGTTTTCTGGTTCTTTTTAGGAAATTGACAACAGGCTTTCCTCTGCAGCAAAAGATATTGAAATTACAGGTATAGAATTACCAACTATTACATAGAAGATAGAAAATGCCACCACAAATATGTCAATTTATTGTACTGGAGGCTTATGTGTTGCTATGATGTTAAAAGGTACATCACAGGTATTTAAAACACTAACAGGATCACTCATGACAGACTCGTTTCATCAGAGGTTCCACAGCATATTATTGTTTTGTATAGTACTAAACGACCAATTAAGCATGTTTATGATTATGAAAACAATGCATAACTGGGAACTATTTAATTCTGTTAGATATAAAGTTATCATGAATTGAAGTCAACTAGATGACAACTAATAATGATAAATAATCAGAGTAAGTATGTTGGAGACAGTGAGACTGGCACAGGATACAGCAGGGTTTAGGGTTGTTGTACAGAGGGTCACTACCAGTCACAGATGACTTGATGGCACATAACAACAACAACATCAAAATGACACATTGAATTTTTTTACATAAAATTCTAGCCATTTGTGTCTTTACTTTTTCTTCCTCTATTGTAATTTTGTTGTTGTTGTTGGTTGTCGTTGAGTTGAGCACAACTCATAACTACTCTATGAACAAAAGACCTAATGCCTTTCCATAACTGTTGTCATTTTTCCAAGTTCATAGAGTTTCCAGAGGCATGTGGTTTAAAAAGTGGATGCTACTCCTGCTTCCGAACCTGTTTTATAACAGGGAGCTCCACCAAACACTGTCCACATGGGGAAGCCATTCTGGTGTTTGATACCCTAATGGTACAAGGTTCAGCATGATAGCAACGCAGGTTACATCATACTGTACATTGACAAAGAGTTATGTACAAAGTGGAAGAGTGTTCCTCCGGCTATAACAGCACTAGTTTCACTTAGCAGTGGTTAAGTGTCATGAACTTGAATATGACTGAGAGTAAGTTTTACACAAAGGACCTAAACTCTATAACTCTCGTGGTTTCTGTACAGAACTGTGTTCTATAACTACCATAATTTCTGTCCATTTATAGAGTTTATAGAGTTTGTAGAGTTTCCAGAGGCATCTAGTTTAGGAAGTGGATGACACTTCTGCTTCCCAGCATAAATCAATCTGGAAGCTCATCCCAACACTGGGTAACCATTTTTTTTTATTTGACAAGACTATGGAACAGTATTCAGCGTCACAGCAACATCAAGTTGTTCAGTTTAGCCAACAGACAAAATAGTGCTGTATCATTCTAGGAATATTCATTCCCTGTGGGGTTTTAAGCCAACGTCTTTGAGCAGACTTCCACCCTAGGCAAAGGTTCAAGGACACCCACTCTTGGGGCGGGGGGAAGAGCAGTAATACACATCAAACACAATCCCCAAAAAACACTACCTCAAAAACGTTCCTTTACCTGCCCGTCAGGACTAGCATCCACAAGAAGCAACAGGCCACACTCCCAGAGGGGAGTCTTCCAGACCTCTGCTAGCCAATGTCATTTGACTCTTGATAATTCAAAGAATTATTAATATTCATAAATATTGATGGCTCTATTCAAAATTGTTGGCATAGTACAAGAAGCTCTTTAATAAAATAATTAAGTAAAATATTAGCTACAAATCTATTTTCTGAAAAAAATGAACTGGTTTTTTTGGAACTCCGATATCATATAGTTAACTGATATTTAAATTCCTTCAGGGTTGAGATTGTAGAATGCTTTGAGACATTTTAGTGTCTCAGTAACATTTGTAGAATGAAGTCTACATTAGTCTACATTTCACTGTGTTCACAGACTCATTAAGATGGAAAAGAGAAAATATCTAAGAAAAAGGATTATAATCGACATATTTTTAAAAATTTATATGCATCCTCAGTGCATTTCAGGGACAAATTTGAAGTAATTTTATTTCATATATGTATTGAAAAACAAAGAACACATGCTTTTTGACTTTCATCTTATCTTTGTGTTTCTAATCTGCCAACCAGATCCACTAGAGAAGGCTAAGAAAAGAATTTTCTGTTAATTTCAAGAGTGCTTTATTCAAATGAAATACTTAGCCTTGGATTGCTCCAGAAACACTAGCATCAGTTCTGAGATTAGCAAAATCACTTAGTCTTACCATTTTTGACTCAATCTACTACTTACCAGCATTTACTATACTACCTCAGTCCACTACTTGCTATGCTGTCTTAGTCTACTAATTGGTTTCCTGATCTCTTTGAAACTCTGATTTTATTTGATTCTCAACCTTCTCTGTGCAAAAGAATCACATATATGGATTTTGTAAGTAAACCAGTAGGAAATGGAAAAGAAAAAGATTGAAGGACAACTCATAAAAAAAAATTCACCTGGGAATCTTGATAAAAATGCAAATGTCAGACTCCACTCCCAGTGATTTGGATGCTTTGTTTGGTTTATTACACATGTCTAAAAAGGTCTAACTGACTTGGATGTTGGTGACATTGGCCACTTTATGAGAAGCCTGGCTTTATTGCAAGACACAAGACCCCCTAGCTGATGGTGACGTCTGTAAGTTCTTAGCTATACAGACAAATGCATTAATAATAGTCTTGTATGTATTTTCTTGATTAAATAACTAAACTGATTGCCAGTTTCTTGACAACTACAGAACTCTGAACCTGTGGCCCCAGTCAGTAACAGAATAATAATTATACTTGTTGTCGTTGTTACGTGCCATCGAGTCACCTGTGATCCATAGAAACCCTATGTACAACAGCCCTAACCCTGCTCTATTGTGTGCCAACCTCACTGTCTTTGACATACCTACCCCTGTTACCCCAGTCACTGAATCAATATATCTCATGGAGGGTCTTCCTCTCTCCTGCACTGTCCCTTCACCCTCCCAAGCATGATGTCTCTCTCCAAGGACTGGTTCCTCCCTGCAACATGTCCAAAGTATGTCAGACAAAGCTTCAGAATCCTTGTCTCCAAGGAGCAGTCTGATTTCACCCTCTTCAGGACAAACTTGTTCATTCTATTAATTCTTATTATACTTACTGTATTTATTATTCACATTGATTAACTGGAGACTATCTATGATAGAATGATGTTTTTACATCTTCATGTAGATAAATTTCATGGATATTTATAGGTTAAGATGTTCTATTTACAAATAAGACTGTCTCTCCCAAGAAAGGTTGCTAACCAGAGTTGAGTACATTTAACCATTAAATCAACATCTTCATTCTCTTGCATGAAAAGTTAAGAAAGATCAATGCCAAAGTAATTACTATGGAGTACATAATCAGATGTCACTTAATGAAATTAGTTAGCTGGCCTGTAATTCTCAACTTTCCAAACTGTAGTTTAATAGGTTCACTGTATTTTACTGCCTCCTGCTATGAATCGACTTAAGTCAACAATAGTGTTCATGTGTGCATTTTAAAGTTATAAGCATAATGAAAGTTATTTTGAGGTGATAAGGGTTATCATTTTTTTTTCTCATGTAACCTTACTACCTGGTTATACAGATTAGCTTGTTTCAGGGCAAATTATATCACACATACAGGCATTTACAGGACATTTGTTCTGTGATTTTAAGTAAGTCTTTGTGCTCTCTCATTGCAAGTGCTCTATTATCTACTAAGGGACTCATTTAAGGCGATCCCACATGTGAAAACGCAGTTTCTAGGTGTTTTTACCAGCCAGAAAGCCAGCACTAGGCAGTCAGAATCCAAAGCTAAGGCTGAATTTGACTTAACCAGGTGTTTTTCCTACATCATTATACCTAAAAAAAAAAAAATAAAGGACACATACCTGTCTATATCTTATTCATAGATGGAGGATGTTCTGAAATAGTTGCTATCTAATCATTAAAGTTAAATTTCACTTGTAAGAGTCTATTTTCTGCTATTTGCTATGTTACACAATAGACCCTATTTTCACCAAAAAAAGGTCTTATTCATTCATTATGGTAATTAGTAGACTATCAATTATTTTCAGTGACTGGTTTAATAGGAGTACGTTCGTCAGAGACAATAAGATTGGAATAAGATAGAGCAGGGTTTAGGGCTGTTGTGCATAGGGTCACTATGAGTCTCAGCCAGCTCAATGGCACATAACAACAACAACCACCAATTATTTGGTGAGCAAATTGGTTAGGCAATGTTGTCTAAAATTTAAGGTTCATTGAGCTAAACATGCTATGATCCTGAGATAATTCTGGGCAAAATCTAACACACTATTGTTGCTAGGTGCTAATGAATAAACAACAACTAATAGGCAACACTATGAGCAACAGATCTAAAGGATTAGTACTTTTCAAATTCAGGGGATAATTTTTTAAATTATTATTGGATTTTATTAGTTTTAATGAACATTTACAGAGATTTTGGGTTTTCATTCATTCATTTTTGCACTCAGGAGATAATTTTATAGAATTTCCCCCATTCCCACCCTACTTGTTTACCAATATTTTTCATATTTTCTTCTTTTTAAAAAAGTCGGTTAACATCATTTGGTTGATCTTACTCACTGTTGCATGTTGCTTTCAACTCATTGTGACTCTTGGGTTCCAGGTCTAAATCACCATATGAGGGACCTGCTCATCTTTCTCTCAGAGTCATGAGTGGATTGAAATAGAACTGTGATCTTCTGCTTATCAGCACACCTAGAACAGATCAAACTGAACATACAACATCTTAATTTTTAAACTTAGCAGAAAATTCTTTTTTTTTTAAATAAAATTTTTCTTTTATACTGGTTTTCTTACAAAGTTCTTATACATTTTTTTTTTTTCACACTGGATCTTTCCCATTTTCTTTACTCCTCCCTCTACCCATCAAATTGTATGACCCTACAATTACCCCTCCTCCCTACCCAT